CAGGTATTTGTTTTCTTCTCAAACGAGTCAGGGTAATTTATGCCAAGACCTTCAATCTTTGTCCGTGTGCTTGCTTATTAAAGTTTCCTTAGTGCTCTAATAAAGGAAAGAAAGTTATAACCTTAATGAGAATTGGTCTAGACTGGTAGATGCTAACTGAAAGAAAACTCAATGAGTTTAAATGATATGTGTTTAGCATAGTGGAAAGTAATTCAGGAGTTAACTTATTATAAAGGCATTGTAGTCTCTCAAGATTATTTATGCAGATGAAGTATGAGCTGCAATTCCCTGCAGATTCTCATAAATCATATGAGGCAGATTTCATCAGTCTTTCCTTTTCTTATCTATTAAGCATTTAATTCCATCCCATTTATAGCATGCATAAGTAAAAAGTATTTTGAATAACATTTTATGTCTTTTATCAAAGTATGAAAAAAATTTAATCTGATGGAAAAATTAAAGCACAGAAACTTAGAGTGGTGATTTTTACATGATATTTTCTATGAAAGAACACTGTACTGTTCTTAACCCAGCACAGGAGAAATTTACTTGATTTTCCATTTTAAAATTAGGAAGTCAGCAGCTATTTAAAAACTTCACAAAATTTCAAAAATGCTAATGTACTAAGTTAAGTAATTATTTGAATCATCCTAATCCTATAGGAAATTGGGGTTAATTTTTAAATTCCAATATACTTCTGCACAATATTACTTTATATATAAAATATATCAATTTGATCTTGTTCACAAACCCAAATTTTAAAAAAAAATGAATTTACTTCAATGCTTGTCCATTTCAGGGTTTTTTGAAAATACTGGGAGAGAGTAAAATATTGTTTTAAGTTTTTCAAATAAATGAAATAATGTATCTGTTATAATAGGCTACCAGAGAATCTATTGAACCCGGGCTAAGATATAAGGTCTTTGGTTGCAAGGGAAACTGAGGTCTTAGTCTCCATGAGAGCCAGGTATACCTCACAGGGAATTCTTTCACATTTAAGGAATTCATAATCTTCATGATACTTCATGTTTGTTTTGCTCCAAGCATAGAGTTGGTGGTTTGATTTCACTTGCTCTTAGAAGCAAGACAAAGAAACACAAAACAAACCATACAGAACTTTTTTATTCTACTGTCATAGATCTAAATACTCTACCAAAATAAACTCTAACTTAATCCATAGGATTGCTTCGTTTGTCAATACTTAGAATTTCAGTATGAAATAATAGATCAAAAGATCAGTTGATTTCTGTATTACCCTTAATACAGTAGCTTCTACAAAGTAAGACATTGATTAGGTTAAGATAACTAATCTATGGACATTTTTTTTCTTTTTTTTGGGGGGGGGGGGGTTCTGGTCATGGGGCCTGAACTCTGGGCCTGGGCGCTGTCCCTCAGCTCTTCAGCTCAAAGCTAGCGCTCTACTACTTGAGCCACAGCGCCACTTCCAGCTTTTTTCTTTTTGCTTATGTGGTGCTGAGGAATCAAACCCAGGGCCTCAGGCATGCAAGGCAAGCGCTCTACCACTGAGCCACCTTCCCAGCCCCCGACATTTCTTCATGTTTATGTAACTATCCCAAACTTTTGAGGTCTGAAGTCAGAAAATCTAAATTTAATGAAGCTTATCTGCTAAGAGTTACTTTAGGGCTAATAAATGGGAAGTGTACTCCCACAAATGTGCTAAATGAACAAGCAGGTGTAGATGAGATGTGGTCAGTTCAGTAATGATGTTTCTACAACTGCCGCTTACAGTGGGTCTCCTAATGGGATGATTTGCTATGGAATTCCTTCAATTCACCCTCCCCCTGTCAATAAAAAGGTTCCTCCAATGTCCCACAAAATCAATCCTCTTCTTTCTCTCCAATCTGAAAAGAAAGGTCCATCCCTCTCCAAAAACCTTTTAGGCTAATCCCACCTGGAACTATTCATTACTTAAACCTTTTGGGGTGTGAAATGAGCCTATAGTGCCTGGCTGCAGTATTCACATTATTCCTTTTAGCTTTTAGTGTATCCAATGGCTTAAAACATTTCTACCTAAGCTTTTGCTTCAGGGAAGAATTCTTATCAAGCAAATGCAGTCTGAGTGACTAGACAAAGGAGAGAAAACCTGAGAATGACCTCAGAAGAGAGGCAGAAGATTTAACACCATGCAAGGAGCCTTAGGCTATCATTTGTGCTCTCTGTAGAATTCATTTATATTTTTATATTCCAACTATGACCTAAAAATAATAATGTCTGTATATATAGTCTCCTTTTATCATATAGAATAAAGTTTTTCTGAAGTCAGGAGAACCCTTTGAGGATATATTACCCATAAACATGGTAATCAGGGTTTAAGACAAGTTCCAGGAGGCATTAATATGTCAACAAGGTAATACTATGTGTTGTTTCTATGCTATACTAAATTTTTACCGATTTAGATAGTTATGTAAGTGGACAATAGCATTAGATAAACCTTCAGATCTTGCCATTTTTTTAATTTAGAAAATGGACACTTTAGCTGTATTCTTTGTGGAATGCCTCTCTAAAATCTAATAACAATTCTCTTTGAAGAAATGAAAATGGGAGCCAAAAGGACATCAACTGAATAATTACAGAACTTTATGTAAAATAGCCTCTCTTCAATTTGCTGAATATCCATTGTTCATAAATATGTTGATTTCATCTAGAATAATCATATAAAATCACTAATAACCATCCCTTCATAGTGCACGCCAGTAGTAGATGTATGATGCTTAAATCAACATGCCAGAAATATATCTTTAATGGAAAATTTTAATAAAGGAGCATCTTGAAGATGTTCCCCATTTAGTCTCAAGTGCTGTAGAACAGATGATCAGATAACTAGAAATCACTACAGAATAAAAATGTCCCTGGTGCCTTAGACAAGTAGAAAAGAAAATCTTGTATTTGGCTAGGATGGGAGTTTTCTGATAATAGTAGGCACCAGAACCACCCAGAAAGCTTGTTGAAATACAGATTTCTGGACCCTCTCCCAGAGTTTCTGACTCTAGTGGTCTTAGAAGATTGGAGAATGTTGAGTGCAGTTACTGATATAGCTAATTCTGTAAGAATGTGCGATGGGAAGGCAGGACATAGAAAACTACGTAGAAGAATGTTTACTTTATGGCAGACGTTCAATAGAATATGGATACTGGGAATGTGATCAAACACATCAACAAGAAGCATTGTCTAAAATGGAGATTGGAAAGTGACTGTAGCCCACCAGCTTTGCCCCCACAGTAACAAAGGATACTTCTCAGTTCCAACTATAGGACACACACACACTAGGACACACACACACACACACACACACACACACACACACACACACACACACATCATATATAAATGTGGTAGTAACATATTTGAACTAGAATCTCCCAATTACTAACCAAATGGTCTTCCAATTAAGCTAGATGTCTAGCTCTTTTTGTTTTAAATTTTCATATAGGGTCTCATATATTTGGCCAGGGCTGGCTTCAAACTGTAATCCTCTTATCCTTGCCTGTGCATACCTTGTTTTACAAATGTGTACACAACAACATCCGTATTGAATTTTGAGCTACCATCTCATTAACCTTTTTGCCAAGGAGGGTCTCAATCTAGGAACCTCTCATCTTTTCCTCCAAAATAGCTGGGATTATTTCTAGTCTTAGAATTCCCATACTTTTATAAATCAAGATTTGTGTGATAACCACAGTTGTACCAATGGTAAAATTCAAAATGCCTTAAAACCTGTTTGAGGCTCATTGTATCTTCTATAATGTATGCGTCATTAGATATCACAGGACAGCGTTGGTAAATTCCTCATGACCTCAGTGAAACATCCTTGCACTTCTAAATATCCTTCTGCCCTTTAAGGACTTCCAGACTAATGAGTTTTCTAAGCATTAGCAAATATATGTAATATATTTGCTAGGAAGGAAGGAAAAGGAAGGAAGGAAGGAAGGAAGGAAGGAAGGAAGGAAGGAAGGAAGGAAGGAAGGAAGGAAGGAAGGAAGCAAGGAAGGAAGGAAGGAAGGAAGGAAGGAAGGAAAGAAAGAAGGCATTGAAAATGCTCCTTCCTGCTCTTTTATTCTTATTGATCATAAAGTCATTTAGTTTTCCTTGAAATTTTTCTATACACAAATAACAAAACATCTATGTTGACACTAACATTGTCCACACTTTACTGAGAGCTGAAATCATTGGGTCTTCTTTTGAAAAGGCAACATATGGGTGCTTCAAAAGATAAGACCTTCATAATCTTACTGTTTAACAGTAGAAGAAATTCTCGGTCTAAGTTTAAGAAAAATGGGATAATTAAGAAAAACCTTCTATTAGGATTCACACCTGAGAATGTGGACATATCAGATTTTTGCACAGGCGATTTCATACCCTTGGTCAGTAGCAAGGGCCTTCTTCATCCCATTATGCTCATCCATTGATACTTTCAGGTCCAGAGGATATGTTCCTAAGAGCAATCATACAGTTTCCACCTTTTAAAATTAGAGTTTGGAATTAGACTGAAATTGAATGAAATACCAAGCCATTTTTGAAAAATAAACACAAAATATGTAGTTCTTAGGGAACATGTATTTTTTATTGTGAAAATATTGAAGAGAGGGGTTACAATTACATGGGCAAGATAACGAGTACATTTCTTATCAAGCATTGTTGCCTCCTCCTTTGTTTCCCATTTCCATCCCTTCCCATCTATTCCCTCCCACCCCCAAAGCTGTAAAGTTCGTTTTTCGACAAAACGACTTGTACATCTCATTGTTGGAATGGGTCCACCTGTATCCCTATTTAAACGATATATTTATTTATTTATTTATAAAAATAATATAATCTGCACCATCTTTTTAGGTGGCAAAACATTTGAAAATAGATACTACAATGTTCATCTGCTTATATGAAATTTCATTTCTTTCTGTGTCTACAGTATGACAAAACTAAAACAACATAGCTTGTGTGTCTTTAACTGTATTTTTTTAACATATATCTTCCTCCACTTCCAGGAGTGGAAATTCATCAATGCCTATATTCTCTACCAGAGGTGGACCATTTGTAAAATTAAGCAAAGCACCTAATAGCAGTTTAATACTAACTCCCAGGTGAGTCCTGAAATCTGTGATTTTTAGATGTTCATATTTTATAGAACTATAAGAATTACAAAAGAAAAAGAAGAAATTTAAAACTATTCAATTGAATTCAATGGAAGTTCAATTAAATTACTCCATAAATCTCAACAACAACAACAAAAAATAAGGCCAGCTTATACTGATGTCACTATTATAATTATTGCAGAGATAATTTTTAGGTTCTATTTTCTGTGAAAACTGGTTCTTTTTAAAATACCCCTGCACTCTTGGTTTCAATAAAAATAAGTAAAAGAATCTTTCAACTGTGAAAATCTAATGACTCACAATTCCCATTTTTATACTATTTTGAGGCATTTAAAAGACTAAATTCTCCACTTGCCAACACTGGATAATGGCAACCCAATCAGAAATTACCCATCTGACCTCAAATACTTAGCATGTTGCACAATAACAGTACTAAGATTTCTTTTTTTGGGGGGGGGGTTCCGGTCATGGGGCCTGAACTCTGGGCCTGGGTGCTGTCCCTCAGCTTTTCAGCTCAAGGCTAGCACTCTACCACGTGAGCCACAGCACCACTTCTGGCTTTTTTCTTTTTGCTTATGTAATGCTGAGGAATCGAACCCAGGGCCTCATGCATGCAAGGCAAGGGCTCTACCACTGAGCCACCTTCCCAACCCTTTGTTGAATTTCTGTCACATGACAGACACTGTGGTAGAACATTTTAGTATTAATTTAAAATCTATTGAAAGTTCTACAAGTTAGATAATACTGATAACACCACAAATATGAGGAAAGGAAAGCCTGAGTTTGATAAGTGACTTCTACAAGTTCTCAAAGCTTATAGCCAAATTACACATTTAAACCCAAGTCTACTTCTACCCAAAACATTCTATTTCTTTTCTTTAATGTCCTGAAGGTAATAGTTCACTTTAAATAGTAATTTTATAAGCCAAGTGCTGGTGGCTCATGCCTGTAATCCTAGCTACTTAAGAGGCTGACATTTGAGTATTGTTATTCAAAGCTAACCCAGGCAGGAAACTCCTTGAAACTATTATCTCCAGTAAACTACCAGAAAATGGGAAGTGGTGCTTGGCTCAAGCACTAGCCTTGAGCTGAAGAGCTGAGGGACAGTGCCAGGCCCAGAGTTCAAGCCCTACAACTGACAAAAATAAATAAATAAATAGTAATTCTATAAAGAAAATAAATCAAGATGCATGAATTTTCCAACCAGACTAAATGCCAGAGTAACCCATCCATTTATATCATACTTTTATATCACACTTTTTTACACCATTGGGCCAAGACAAAGACACAAAATCATGGTGTTGCCATTCTGGGTACTAGGGGTAACCTTACTCTGACTACAGAATCCATTGTAAGGACAGTGATACTATTTCTCTCCAACTCCCATAAATAAATCTTGGCAAAATAAGTTCCACTCCTCAATCTGCCTAGAGAGTAAGCACCATACTTCTCTATATTCCTGAGTCACTGAAGGCATAAGATTGTGTACAACACACTGTGAAATTGTTAACTTGCATTGAATTTTCTGGTTACTAATAGTTAACTATTTCTGAGCTTGATACCAAAGGAAACACTGTTTAGTCCGAGAATATTGAAAATGTCTTAAAGATGACCATTTTGAATACTCTAAATGCACAGTTTCTATGAAACTTGAAAATAGACTAGGAAGCATCAAGAAACAACTTCTTACTCAAATAAAGTATGTATCAGCAGTGAAATTAATTTACACACCTATGGATACTATGGATATATAATGATATATCTATATCTATGTCTATATGTGTTCTTGTGGTCAATAAAATATGAGTACATGTCTTTTTATGTCTATTGAAATCATTAAAGAAACCAGACAAAACTGATGAATATGATTTCAAATACTTTGTCATTTCATATTCCTGCATCAATGAATCTTTTTGACTGAGCCTATATTGTTTGGTTTTTTAATTGTCTTACTTTTCTCAAAGTTAAAGCACCTAAAAATGAGAAGAAAAGAAATAGTGGTAAGTAAATAGGTGTAAATCATTGAAGTTATGGATATATGTTATAAGTGTGTTTTAATATGCCCAAGATGTGCTGTAGCTGTATTAGGAAATGGTATGGTCAAGTACTATAATTTCTTATGTTACACTGATCTCTAGTGGTTAGATGGTATAACACATTATGAAAATGTCTTTTTTTATTCAAAACAGAATGGGTAGTTTTGAAAAGAAATAGTATTCACATTTTTAATAAATAATGAGTTCATTAGTCGCTTATTTTACAAGTGCTATGTTCAAAAGCAGGACTTGTGATTTATTCATCATTCATCATTCCCAGAATGAAACACAGAGCCTCATTCCGAGTGCTCCTCGGAGAATACTTTGCCAGAGGGAATATCAAGACATATTCTGGAGGTGTATTTTCTTATCCGTTTCACTTTCCACTGTTTCAGATACCTAGACTCAAACACAGTCTAAAAGTATTCAATGGAAATTCCAGAAATAGGCAAGTCATAACTACTAAATTAGGTCCCAGTCTGAACAGAGACTCAGACCTTATTTTATCTCTTAGAGGAGTGAGTTGTTCTTTGTGCCCCACATTTACAGTGAATCTCTCCTTCGGTGACATTGACTACAATATTTTAATGATGCCTTTTTTCACTTAATAAATGCCTCTCAAAGAAAGTAGTAGTTATGCAGTATTTCCTATATGTGAAAAGCAGAAAGTCACAATAAGCAAAGAAAAAACTGTCATATAGTTAGGTCCTAAAATCTGTGATCTACACTCATCATAAAGTTTTTAATCCATGAATTGTAAACAATGAAAGTGTTATTTTTCTGAAACAGTCCAAACTATATATATATATATATATATATATATATATATATATATATATATATATATATATGACTACAATGTGCAATAGATACTCCATTGCAACATTAAAATGTAGGGTTTAATGGCATTAAATGTAGGGTTTAATATGGTGTGTGGTTTTCAGGCATAAGCTAGACATCTTAGAACCTGTTTCCCATTAAGCAGGACCTATTAGATCAGAAAATAAGACATGCAATGTTAGTTCAAGCAAAATAGCAAATATAGTAAAATATCTATCACTGACCAAATGTTAACTATGTGTAAGGCACTATAATCATTGCATTATAAATACTACTTTTAATCTTCATAAAATTTAAATACATTATGTACTATTACCTCCATTTTATGGATTAAGAAACTGAGTTTCAAGAATACTGAGGAACTTATCCTAAACCACAGGAAAAGTAAGTGGTAGTAAGAATGTAAAATCATTGCTACTTATCGTTACAGTATGGCATTTTCTTCTGGGCATGTTAGCTTACTTATATTTTATGTATTGTCATATATCAAATAGATATTTTGATATATACCATTAAGGTCCATTTAAGTAAAGATAAATAATATAATTTGCACTATACATTACATTAAATATCAAGTGCACAAATTTTGAAATGTAATTGTTTTTCTTGTATAGTCAACAGTGCTTTCAAGATTCGTTGATTTACTTGCAGTGTAATCATAAATGTAAGTAAACCTTTTGATCACCTTCTCTCTCTTTTTTTCTTTTGGTCACCTTCTCTTTAAGGCTTCAATTTAAAATCCTATATAGAGATTTTTGTCACCTGCACTTTTCTTTTATCATCATTCAATTCTCATGATCCAAAGAAAAATCCTCCAAGTAAAGCAGATATTCTTTCTTCAATTATATTAATAGCATGTGGTAGAAAGCTGGTGACTCCAGAAGTCAGCCCAAAAGTCGTTGGAGGAAGCAACGCAGAAGCGGGAGCCTGGCCATGGCTCGCTGCTCTGTATTACAGAGGCCAGCTTGTCTGCGGCGCGTCTCTTGTAAGCAGAGAATGGTTGGTGTCTGCCGCACACTGCGTATATGGGTGAGTGTGGGGTCAGAGGTCTTTTCTCCATCAAGGTTGCCATCGAAGACACTTCTATGCCTTTTTCATTTCTCAGCCTCATATCTGATCAGGGAAATATTTCTACATTCTAATGATAAAGTTTCAATAACTTTTCCCTACAGTCACCGATAAAAATGAGCGCTATCAAAAATTATTCTTCATTTGTTACATATATCAAGTGTGTATCAAGTATCACATATACCAACTCTCCTACCCACACAGAATTGGAAGTTTTACCATGTAACAAAGTGAATATTTGTGTTGCTTTTGTTTGTCTGCTTTTCTGAGAAATGATCTAACCGTCTAGCTCTAGTTGACTGAAGACTTTTTACGTAGCGCAGTCTGTCTTGGCACTCATCATCTTCCTACACCGGTCACTCCAACTGCTGGAACTTCAGAACAGCTTTTAAACCTCAGAATTAATATTTATCACACAAATTATGCTTGTTATCACTTAATTAGGCTAATGTTTATTGCTGACAAACTTTTAACACTGAAAAACGTGCATAGGAAGCCCTCTTGTTAACAATTTTGTGCATTCTAGAAGTTTAAGTACATTTTTTGTGAATCGAAATATTTAACTACATCTCAGGTTAGACTTGTTAAATAAAATGTATTACAGTTCATTTTCATAATGAAATAGGGCCAAATGCATACAGAATCCTAGGACTTCATTCTCTGTTTTAAAATCAGCCTGTCTTCACTCAGTGCCACATGGAGGAATAGGGAACATGAAGAAGAGCAAAGCAAAGGGAGAAATTGTCATGGGCTCAGAAATATGGTCAGTATCTCCTTTCATATGACATAGAACATTCTGTTATTTCTAAGTCATTTCAAGAAAAACAAGCTTCCTCATTTGGTGTTTATGAGTGTAAGGAGGATTTAATTCCTGCTTCTGATTTAGCAAGTAATGCCCTAGAGACTTTTGCCTGTGCAGTTTAGTTTTGCCTCCAAGCGTGAAGCCAGAAGCCAGTCTCTAAAGACTTGTGTGTGCTCAGATGTAAGGCAAACAGCTGCAGTCAACCAAGTGACAAAATTTTAACTCTTCCAACTAATATAGACAAAGAAGGTGGCAATACATGTAAAGACAAGTAATCGTTAGATCCAAAGAGTTGTCATCTTTTTAGAGAAGATAGGGAAAAACACAGAGAATGAGCATGGAAGGGTTGAATTGACACCTAAACATCTAATAGAACAGAATGAGAATAAAGCCAAAAACCAATCCTAGGACTCTGGTGAGACAGCATCCTTGGCCAGATATCACGTTGGTCAATAGACTGATCAATGGAGCTATCCCAGGTTTCATTCCATGATATCATTCTCTGATATTATATATTAGGTGCTATAGCTCAGTGATTGAATTACAGTCTCTCATAGTAAATATGCACCCTCTTGACTTTGCTGCCTCCTGAAAAGTATCAGCTATCTGTTTTTAGTCATACCATAAGAAATACCGACACAAGGCATCTTCTCCTCCCCTGTTAACTAGGACTGTATTGCTTATCTACCCATATCCTCACACTGGGTAACATCAGTATCATTTCTGTGCTATAAGTAAAAGATATTTCTAGCTACAGCGTTAGTCTTTTCTAGTGTACATGGGTAGGCATTAGTCAATTAAATTAATCTCGAACTTGGTAAACTCTTTGATGTTTGATGTTCTTCCAGAACATCTATTATCTGAATGCCAGCCACACTTGCAGCAATACTAATGAAATCCTTTAATTAACTGCCTATAAATGTATTTTTTATAAGTCAGTGATACTGATCTCAAGTCTTTTTAAACTATACATTCATGAAGGAAACAGAGGCAGTTTAATTAAAACAAGTGTCCAATCATGTAACACATAAAACATCTTCAAATAACTTCAGTTCAAACATAAATGAACAAAGGTAAGCTATATTAAAATTATGATGAGTTCAAAATTATCCTTACATTGAACTTGATGATCCTTTACTAATCATAGAATTATAACTTTTCTCTATTTACCAAATGTTTTGTGCATTGACTTCCTGTCTTTAGCAAAGAAAAAAAATTCTGATAAAAGGTTTACACACTTTGATTTTAAAATATTTTAACTAGTATTAGAATACTGTCTGTTATTTATCATCTGAAAACCTAATTGTATAGTAAAAACTTTAATTTCCTGATAAAAAGAATAGCCCCTATCAATCATTTTGTGACATGTACAACACACAGGGTTTGTCTTCATGACAAACATATTCTAGAGTTTTAACTAGCAGATCGTTGTATTGTCCTCTTATCTCAGATCTTAGTGTCTGAAGTCCTGTTTGCACCTTAAGAGCTGTGATTCTAGATGATATTTTTTTTAAAAAATCCTTACTTTGTTCTTCTATTCCCCTAGTTGCTCCCTTTAAAATCTTGAAAGAAGAATTTAGAAAATTACAGGGCAACTTTCCTGTGACTTCAAGTACAAAGGTGATGTTGAGCCGAAGGTCAAAATTTTGATCCCATAAACATGACTGAGTTCACATGGGATTACAGACTAGGCAATTTAGTATCTAAGTCTCAATCTCTTGGTCTATAGAGGGACCAGGAAGATATATACCCTATAGGATGATTATCTCAACGAAACTAAGATGCCTTTGAGTATTATGAATGATGTAAGTATGAAATAAAATGTTATTTCCATTCTTACATGGGAGAGCAGGAGAAAAAAATCTAAGTGTTGTTCAATAAAGAGTCAGCAGATTTATTTTCTGAACTTTTTATATTGATCCACTACCACTGATATAAAAATGTAAGAAAAGTAAAATGCTGAAATATATAATCTTATATGTGTTATAGCTGAGATACAGTAAGAGATTCACACTGCTATTTATAGCTTAGTACTAAAATAAGCTGATGCATCTAATATAACTTCAGAAAATAACTTTTTAAGCAATTCAACACGGATTATAAAATAGTCTTGCATATCTGATACTACACTAACAGTTGAAAATTTGAGATTCTTCTAAATGCCTCAACATTATAAGATAATTTTAATAAATTTGCTTATATATAAAATATAAATATATAGTATATATTTATTTATATAAATACAATATGTACTTGTATATAAAGTATAAAATCATGTGTGCAATGTCATTTCTCTGTTTCTTATCAACCTAGTCTATGATTTTAAGGAATTAAGATGATGAAGATTATATCCTTCTGCTTATAGTAATACTATAGTAGTATTCTAAGTTTGTAGTACATTTTTCAGATTTAAAAGATGAGCAGCTGAGCATAGCGCTCAGTGGTAGAGCCCATGGCTGATATGCATGAGCCCCTGGATTTGATCCTCAGCACTTTCCTCTAAAAGTCTCCTTTTGAAGGATAGACTTTTAGAATTTATGTTTTTCTGATAGATGTTGAATCAAGTTGCAACCTTGGTTTTCTCTTCAAATATATTCAGATGTGTTCTGAAAGTCTCCTTTGGTCTATTTTCTTGACACATTCTAACAACTATTTTCACAACACACTTTTTTTTAAAAAGCAGATAAAATAACCAATCTGCTTCGCTTTCCTTTTGTAGATGTTTCAGTATCAGACCTATGAGGTATCTCACCATCTGAAATCACACTGCTGAACCCTCTTTTCTTAACTTTGCATAACCACATGTGATAGTGTGACTTATCACACAGCTCCAAGGCAGTGTGCATGGCCATAGGTCTCCTCAGTCCTTCCTGAGCTTGGGTTGCTCCCTGCATGAAGTCAAGTGATATTTCCTAAGTACTTAACCTGTGCTAAACATTAATCTAAGTTTTCAGAATTATAATACCGCCCATACCAGCTGAATCCTTTTCTTGATAATGTTTATATTACAGGTTAAGGCAGAAAAACTTCAAATAAGTATTTGAGGGAAAGATAAGTACAAAAAATGAAGCATGAAATTAGTATAAACAGTAGGAAAGTGATGGGAGCCCGGGGTGTGTGTGATCTTCTCCATTCGTTGAAGAGGTTGTCTTTTCTATAGTATATGTATTGGCTCCACTGTCAAAATGGTAGTTGACAGATGATAGTTGAGTGGTTTTATTTCAGTCATTTGTCTTTTCCACATATCTTCTTCCTCACAGCTCCTTTCTCTTTCTCTACATATTAGGATCCATTTTTTTTCTGCTAGCAAAGGGAAGATACAGGTGAAATGTAGCAAAATTCAAGCCACCTTTTTCTATACCAAAAGATACTCTATATCTGCTGTATTTATCATCAGGCTATACAGTATGCCTACCCATATATGCCCACATTTTCCCCACACCCATATATCCTGTGGGTCTTCTTTACTAGAATGTACATTCTTTCAGACAAGATGTTTTAAACTTATTGAGTCTCTTCCCTTCATCAAAAATCGTATCCTTGAAGGTTTTTTCCTCTGTTTCTCAGTTTTCGGTAATTGATCAAAGATTTCCCTGTGTCCAGTAACCACATCATGATTAAATACCAGTTCTCAAGAACGAAATGAAGATTATGAATTTAAATATTTTGTCTTCAGTGGTTCATAAATCTGAGAAACATTGACTATAACCTTTGTGTTCTCCACTTACATCCACTCAGAAAAGACTCAGGAATGACAAGAGGCAGTAAACACAGAGTGGAGGAAGTTCAGACACAGAAAACTGTCAGCAATATTTGGAGGAGAAATGTGAATAGTGATTTTCCTAACCATGTACTACTTAAACTGGTGCTGAAGCAAGAGACACATAAAAGAGATGTTATTTTCCAAGCAGCATCATAACAATCTTTAAGAATATGTCAAATTAACCTTGTAAATTATATTTAATTAGGCCAGTAGCTTGAAGCATTTGTACTTAATCTTCACAGTTCATGATTTGTGTATTGTATTCTAATGAAGACTTTAAAATAATGTGAGGCACTGGTGATTTCTTCACTCTGTGTTACCTGCAGGCTCTCTCATAGCAGTAATTATAATGATTAAATCTCAGATGAAATATAGTACTTACAAATTAGTTAAGAATTTGGGAGCTTATCTATTCTTTCTTTTGAGTTGTTTTAATCCAACAATGATTTAAATCGATAGCAAGTAAACCACACATGCCCATCTAAACTAAAGGACAGATTCTGAAGAAAATTAAGTATAAAAACATGTAAGCAGAAATTTTACTTATTTTTCTTAATAATAGATATTATATATGTGTATATAGAGATATATACACTCTCTTAATTCCAAAGCACAATCTGTATAAAGGTCTTCTATCCCTTCAACAAATATTGGCTAATATTATTGAGAGAAAAATTTACTCTCATAAAAATTTCTGTGCAGAAATACAAATATATATCAATGTGATACATGAGTTATATAATTATAAATAAATAAAATTAAGTACAAAGTAAGAAACGCATGAGGTAGTAATTTTAGGATTAGTTTACTGCAAATACCAAGCAAATTATGAATTAAATGTTGAATTAGAACACCAGTCTTTGAAATAGTGTAAGTACATGTTATTTATCTGTCATCACAGGCAGGTAATCAAGTGAAATTAAGACAGCTGAGATTTAGAAAATAAAATGAATACATGATAGGCAGAGAAGGAAATTCAGAGGGAAAGATTTCACTTTATTTAAAGAAGGCCCTGGTGGATATGGAATACCTGGGAATAGGGAGGGCAGAGTGTAATCAGGTTAACTGCAATTATCAGGGTGCCAAGTGTGACTGAAATACTGAATCCTCTGTTCTAGAACTGGGAAAGCAAGGCCTCTTGAGAAGCAAACAGGCCTTGTGCTATACCATAATACTCTCCTCCTAGCATCCAGGACACCACCAGAGCTGCCAGCAAGAGCTGGGAGAAGGATGTCATGCCCTACCTGGGCCCAGATAACCAAAACCAGGCATGGTGCTCCCTTCTTTTTGCCACTTCCTCAATTCCCTCTTTTCAATTCTCACTTCCTCCCAGGGAACCCTGCCTAGAACTGTTATGAGACACCCCCCCCCACACACACACACTCCCACACACACACCTGGGATCTTACCCACCCTCTCAGTCTTTTCACTCAGTTTTCACTTGCTCCCACAGAACCCTGTGCAAGACAATATGGGCCCCAGATCTGGCCTAAGTGCAGGCTTGTTAGTCAGACTTAGCTCCTGCCTACCCATATCTGCCCAGGCCAATGAAAGCAAACCAGTTCGCAGCGCAGGTAGTATGGTTATTAGTGGATGTTCATTGAGTATTGAGATCTTCATTAGATTAACTGATAACTGTTATTAAGCAGATAGAAAGTAACTTCATGCATTTGTAGGTACCCTGAACTTTAACATTCTAAACATCACATTAAACTAAACATCTGCAACTGCTAAGACTCAAAATCATCAATACTTCTCACTATAATTGCAGACATTGGATTTTGATTTCTTTGTGGATATGATTTAATTGGCTTAATTCCAGTTGTTCACTGGTAATTCCTTAGCATGAAGCTATTGTAGGCCAATAATATATTTGGGTGTCTTTGTGCATTTTCAAATTATAATATATTACCAAAGTTCTGTCTTACAACACCTATGCTATCCACTACAAGTGGATACACAGGCCAACCTTGAGTAAGGAAATTATTCAAGTAAGTACCATGATAGGGTTAGCCCTCTAAATAGAAAAACTACCCTGAACTTCCTTTCAGTATCATTTTAAATACAGCAGAAGCCTGATAAAAAAAAACTTAGACTATAATCAAAAGAGTAGGATGTAATCAAATATAAAGGTTTTCAAACTACATTGTATGTTGCTATAAGTGTAGTGTCTTAATTGGAAAATATTTTTATAATTGCCTGGTGGTCCAGTCCAGAAAGACATCAAACCACAGTGGAAGAAGAGAAATCAGGTATCTGTGCTATCTGAAATTATTCCAGTTGGTTCTGAGATAAAGCCAGAGTTGAGAATCACATGCTAAAATTGGAGCTCAAGAGATTGACATGTTAAAGATTATCATTAGTTAAGACTTTTTCCATAAATTTGTCCTATTTTATTGTCAGTTAAAAATAATAAATATTTTGAAGAATTCTTAGTAGTAATATAAGAATATTATAGAACAGGCAAGCATAGTTTTAAATTTGTGTATAAGATATGATCAGATAACTAGCTATTTTGACCACAGAGTTTCTCATCTTTCCTTATTTACCAACTGCAGGAGAAATGTAGATCCATCACGGTGGACAGCATTCCTAGGCCTGCATATGAAATCAAATCTGACTTCTCCTCATATAGTAACCCGGTTGATAGATCAAATTGTCATAAACCCTCATTACAATAAACGGACAAAGAACAATGATATTGCCATGATGCATCTTGAATTTAAGGTGAATTACACAGGTAAAAATGAAATGATTTTCATCATCTTATCTGCATAAATTGCTCCAAAAGAAGAGTAGAAATATTATCAGTATGAGTTCATTACTACTTCATAAAATTGGATGATCTGTTATAGAACTCTTTGTAACTTATATGGAATTGGTGTGTGCAGAGCATTAAATTACCTTCATGGAAGTATTGAAATCTAGACATCTGGAAAGGACGTGTAGAATAAAACTCTTAGATCTCTCCATATTAACACAAAGAAAGATGTCATAATATTACACATGTCCTCTCCATTTTTTACACAATATTAAGGTGAGGATATGGTAAGACATAATTGGAGAGAACAGTATAAAGATAAAGATTGATTTAAGTGAACCTTATGGGAGAACTTAGAATACTACCAGAACAGTAAAAGAATGACTTCCTCTAAATTCTTGGAAAAGGTGCAAGAATTCACTTGAGAAAGTCAACTTTGTCCCAAAAGATTCTGCTCAATGCTAGGTTTTACTTTGAAATGTTTTCCAATGCCCAGTTCGAAGAGAGTGCTGCCATCTTTGTTTGCCTGAAGTTACTTTGTACATGGATTACAGAACTTATCAAAATAGACTATTGCTTTGTTAACTAGTATAGCCCAGACTTTGAGGATTAGCACGGTATCCTAATGTTTCTGTCTTCTCTATGTTTTTATGGTAGTGGGGGCTTACTGAACTCCAAGCCACTTATAAATTGATACACAGGGCCTTTAAAGGCAGTGGGCAATGTCAATGCCACTATACAAGACCTGTAAGATGACTTTTTTTAATGTGGAGGTAATTGGAGACAAATGTTAAGAATGTCTGAATGTATTTTAATACTTAAAAAAACCTAACCAAGAGTTCACAGTATTGACTCTACTTATGATTATCATGATTTAAAAGTCTAATATAAGTGAATAACTCCTGACCCAAGAAACTCCACATCACAAAAGGCAGAGGACACAATGTATAGTATTAATAAAGGACATCAGTGGCATCCAAAAAATGGTCAAAGAAGGGTTGCTCTAAAATACCTTTGTTTCTTGGTATCTAAAAGGTGTTTGCATTAAGATGAAATATAAAAGTACAAGCTTTATAGAGTAAATTTTGAAGTGATTGACTTTTAAAATGGGTTAAAATGCGTATGTGTATGTAATTGTTTCTGTTAATTCATCTTGCTTTTTTCCAGATTATATACAACCTATTTGTTTACCAGAAGAAAATCAAGTTTTTCTTCCAGGAAGGAATTGTTCTATTGCTGGCTGGGGAACAGTTGTACATCAAGGTAAATGATTGGATTTGAAAGAAGGGAAAATGCATGCTGTTGGGACACATGATGTTGGAAATCCTGGGAATATTTTTAACATTTTGGCAACTTATGCTCTAACAATTTTGCCACACCTCCCAAAACCTTTGCCAGGCTTAGATTAATATTTTATTTTATAAGCATTTCTAGATTACATAGAAAATATTATAGAAGTATAATCATTGAGAAGAACTCAAGTATCCCCCAAATTTAATGTTAAATTGTAAGTACATATAAGCATTCTGAGAAATAGAAAAAATGTATCTGTTGAAATGATTCTAACTCAAAGTTACCAAAAGTAATTTTACAAAATACATGGGTTAAGTCTTATCAAAAGTCGAGTTTGCTTCACTGCAGTAGGAATGAATGGTCCCAAAAAACAACAAATAAAGAGTTCTGGTGAGGGCAGGGAAGGTGGCTCCGTGGTAGAGCGCTTGCCTTGCATGCCTGACGCCCTGGGTTCGATTCCTCAGCACCACATAAGCAAAAAGAAAAAAGCCGGAAGTGGCGCTGTGACTCAAGTGGTAGAGCGCTAGCCTTGAGCTGAAGAGCTGAGGGACAACGCCCAGGCACAGAGTTCAGGCCTCACGACTGGACCCCTCCCCCGTCAAAAAAAAAGTTCTGGTGAATCTAGGGTTTCTCCTATTCCATCCTGTAATATTTTCAGTGTCTGTTTTGACTCCAAGGTCTTTGATCCATTTGGAGTTGATTCTGGTGCAGGGTGATATATAAGGATCTAGCTTTAGTTTTCTACAAGTGATTAACCAATTTTGCCAGCACCATTTACTGAAGAGGCTATCTTTCTTCCATTCTATTTTTTTCAGCTCCCTTATCGAAGATTAGATGGCTATAGGTCTGTAGGTTCATTTCTGGGTTTTCAATTCTATTCCATTGGTCCTGAGGTCTGTTCTTGTGCCAGTACCAAGCTGTTTTGATTACTGTGGCTTTATAGTAGAGTTTGAAATTTGGTATTGATATTCCTCCAGCACTGTTCTTTCTGTTAAGGATCATTTTTGCTATTCGGGGTCTTTTATTGTTCCATATGAAATTTTGGATTGCCTCTTCTATTTCCTTGAAGAATGAGCTTGGAATATTGATAGGTATCACATTGAATTTGTAGATAACCTTGGGAAGTATTGTCATTTTCACGATGTTGATCCTTCCAATCCAGGAGCATGGGAGGTTTTTCCATTTTCTAAGTTCTGTTTTGATTTCCTGTATTTGATGTTGGTATAATTTGTGGAAGGGAAGGGGAAAAACAAATCGTTTAAATAGGGATACAGGTGGACCCATTGCAACAATGAGATGTACAAGTTATTATGTCAAAAAACAAACTTTACAACTTTGGTGGGGGGTGGGGAAGGAGCAGGTGTGAGGGGGATATGGGAAGGGATGGGAAGGGGAAACAAAGAGGAGGCAACAATGCTTGATAAGAAATGTACTCATTATCTTGCCCATGTAATTGTAACTCCTCTGTACAGTATTCTCACAATAAAAGAAAAAAGAAAACATACTTTACAACTTTGGCAGTGGGTGGGAGAGCGGCTGAGGATGGGAAGGGATGGGAAGGGGAAACAAAGGAGGAGGCAACAATGCTTTGTAAGAAATGTACTCATTACCTTGCCCATGTAATTGTAACCTCTCTGTACGATATTTTCACAATAAAAAAAATGTAGCCTAATCCAAACAAACAAAAAAAGTTCTGGTAAAGATGAGGAGGAAAGAAAACACTTCATATTTTTTGTTGGAATGTAAATTAATACAACCATTGTAAGGTTCACCATAGAAGGTAGCCCCAAATAAATTACAAATAGAACTACCATACAATTTAGCAACCTCACTACAAGTTCTAAACCTACAGGAAATGGAATCAGTATGTCCAAGAGGCATCTTGTTCTTAAGTTCATTGTAGTACTAGTCACAAGAGTCAGGAAATGGAAACAAAGCTGAGTATCAATCAGTGATTAATAGATAAGAAAAATGTGATATATGTTTCACAATGAATCACTCTGCAGCTGAGAACACACTGTCATTTTGTCTTTTGAGATAACATGATTATCTCCTTCTTAAGGATAACATATCAGGCACAGGAAAACACAATCCCACTTACATGTGGACTCTGGAGAAGCTGAACTACTAAAGACTGAGAAAAGGGGGTGATTAATACAGGCAAGGGAGAGTATCAAATGTGGGAAGCTCCATCCATTGGTTCTAAGCTACCATTCCAACAAAACAAAATGCTCTGGTTGTGCATTAGTGCTCAGTAGGGTACCTAGGTGCAATGATGGTTTTCTGTGCATTATGTTTTAAAAAGCTATATGAAATTATTTTCTTTTACCATAAGGTATGATTTGCTTAAACTCAATTAACATTACACAGTGCACCAAAAGATGACATGGTGACATAGTTTCCCAAAGGTATATACATATGGTTTCATTTAATGAAGTTTTAATGTATTCTCGTACTTTGAAGGCCTTCAATAAAAATCTCGATGCTCATTGGCTAACAACAAGCATCCTAACAGAATTCCTAACAGGAGGCCTCTGACCAAGAAGCATGCCAAGCAGAGAGGAAACCTACCTAAGTATTGTACCTACCTCTTTCCCCTACCTCTTTCCCACAAATAAATGATGTCCATGATGCTTAAGAGTCTGAGATTTGGGGGAGGGGGTGTCTGTGAATAAAAGAACTAGTGAAAAATACCCTAATTTCATAAGAGAAAGCAGGAAGGTCTGAGTCAGATGTTTGCCTGATGATCCCAACAAAGATTCTGCTCAGAAATTACATTATATTGCTCAAAATACTTTCATGTCAGTTCTCCCTAAAATATATTAAGGTCAAATACTGTATATTCTTATATTTCTCCATTTGAAACATGTCATGATTTATTAAATTGGAAATATAAAGAGTAAAAATGACTTCTAAGTAGATATATTTTCTTTCAAGCTTCAATCTAAAAGACATTTTCAGGCACAGTGCAGACTCTTCAAAAACAAATTATGCACTAATGAAATTTGAGACTCTATTCCATAGGGGGGAAAATTGAGCTGTGGAAATTTAGCACACATTCACTTATTGTTAGTCAGAAACATGTTTAATTGACTTAAGAAAGTTTCCAATAGAAGAATGGAGCCAGAAACAAAAGTTATATTTGAGATCAAATTGATTTAGAAATACATGACCATATTATGCTTCTTGGATAATTGTAATTTTAATTGTAACTTTATGAACTTTGTCTTATAATTTCTACATGCCTAATTTCATAGAATCTGAATTTTCCATTCTGTGAGAATATTGTCCTGACCATTTTTAGCTAAGAAATCCAGGAATATTCTATTTCATTACAAAGACATGATGTGATATTTTTTGTTTAAATTAAGCCTATACGTACATACTAGATAACTTCCTGAAATTTTTATATATGTCTCTAAGATAGGTAAATCTGTTGTGTGGAGTTTTCTGGGTTATCCTAAAGGCAACTCATCTTAGCAAATAAATATTAAAACTAAGTATGTTGCTTATATTTTCCTACAGCAAGACAGTTTCATACTCATTGACAAGGAAACAAATTGCTTTGCTTTTTACTGTAAAACATGTCCACCAACCTGTCATCATAGAATGGATGACAGTGAGGTTTGAAGTTTTCTCTTCCATTTCAATCTGCCCAGCTCACTTTCTTATTGTCTGTTATCACACTTGAATATTGTAGGTAGTTTACTACTCAATTCACAGGAGGTGCTCTTCCCAATACTAACCGCATTCTTGAGATACTACCTTTAAATCGGCTGTGATAGTCCGTTTACAACAGGCAAAGAATAGGCTTTGGGCTTTTATTTATGTATGAGAACCAGTTGCTACACATTTATCAACACACCACTGAGTCATAGATATGCTGTATTCATTCCACCTAAATCACTCTCTCTCTCTGTATATGCACATTTCTCTTCTTAATTATTTTTAGTATATCTATGAAACATAGATCAAAAACATGATCTTGTACATTTCTGTGGCACTGGATGACAAAGGCATGAAATTCTCTTTAACTTTCTTCTTCTCTTAAGGAAGCAAGTCAACTAGGCTGATGATTAGAAAGTGCTTATGCTTTACCTATCCTGAGTTCCTGGCACCTGTTTGTTTCATAGCCCTCTTGGGATTCATAGTTTAGTAAACAGATTCATACTTCAGGAGATGAGTCACTTGAAAAGGAAAATGTAAATACACTGTGATAATAAATGCTTCTTTTCTCTTTACCTACATGTGAATGGCACACTGATTGCCCCTGGACCAAAGCACAGTTATGGGAGCTTGTAGTGTGCACCTGCTCACTCACATAGTACCACAGAGAAGCTGAACAACTTTACACTAGAGGGAGAAAGGGAGGGAAGGAAAGAGGGAGGGACGTGGGAGGGGCTCCTCAGGTGCCAAATGAAAGCATTTCTGGATTTCTGAGTCAGGGCTAATTTCCATGAATGAAACTCTTTGTGTAGGTGGGCTTTATTTCCATAAGAAATAATGTAACTGTTTAAAATTATTGAAAATACCTGAAGACTACTCTAGTCCAATGGACCATTCTGACTATCCCTTGGGAAAGAAATAAGTGCATCACTGCTCTGTGTGTTCTGAAATCCACAGATGGGTTTTATTTATTATGTGCTTAAGAGTGCAAGGTTAGTAGTTAGTTCCATTTTTCTATCCTCACAGTGCTCAATCATGAGAGGAAAATGTTGGAATAAATAAGACTGATGGTGCTTCATTCAAGAGAGCACTGATCACTTCTCACTGGCTGTCTGCTTCATCCATTTTGAACAGGTCCAACTGCAAACATATTGCAAGAAGCTAATGTTCCTCTTCTATCAAATGAGAAATGCCAGCAACAGATGCCGGAATATAACATTACGGAAAATATGATATGCGCAGGCTATGAGGAAGGAGGAATTGATTCTTGTCAGGTGAATATGTAAATATGGTTACCTTGCATTTTCAGGGAGCGTTGCAATTTAATTATTTCACTTGAATAAAGAAATCAACCTTGAAGTTCAGCTCTTTTTGTATAAAATAATTTTATTTACCTATTTTCGTAGTACTCCTAAATGGACAAAATTAAGTTTTATGACAAAGAAGCAGAAATGTGTTTTAAGAGTTGGTATGATACAAGAGTGTGTGAGGTGGTAAGGTAAAATGAAGAGAAGAGTGATGGATTTGGTTTGAGCCTGAATATGCAACTCAGCTGAGAGATTTGATTTCAATTTTTTTCTTTTTCTTTAGTTATTATTGTTGTTGTTTTTGTACTGGAACTGGGGCTTGAACTCAGATCCTGGGAACTGTCCCTGAGCTTTTGTGCTCAAGGCTAGTGCTCTACCACTTTGAGCCACACTGCCTTTTCCTTGTTGCCAATGTTCTAATTACTTTTAGACTCTCTATCAATGGAAAACAAATCAAACAAGCCTGAGGGCTAATTTGATCTGTAGACCCCCAAAATTGTCAATCCTGAACTTAAAGTATGTCCCCATGTCAAATGACTTGAAACAATCTCTAGATTAAAAACTCTGAATAGCTTAATAGTGCCAGTTTTTCTTAGTGATCAAGGGAGTGTAGCCTAGCATAACTCTGAGAACTATAAATTTTCTATACTGAAAATTTTTTATTAATTTTTAAATGTTATTTTAGAGATGCAATGAGATGGGCTCATTACTATAGGAATGCCAACACTGCACCACATTTGAAGTGTCAATAATATTTGGCCTGAATGAAATCTTATCTGTGTACTATCCTTCCAAAACAGCATCTTACCTTCTAGAAATAATGGAGCCAACTGTGAGCTCCATGAAAGACACATTTACTCAACATATAGAACTTCTCTAATTTTTGAATCATAATTACTCGTGGAGTAGTCATTAAGAGTCTGGATTCCATGTTGATACTTTTTTTGCACGTTTTAAGGACTAAATTCCACATGTGAAAGAGAACATGCGATATTGGTTTTTCTCAGTCTGGCTTATTTTGCTTAACACAGTGGCACTCTAGATCTGTCTGTGGTTCGTGAATGATTTACTCTTTTTCTTACATTGTCCATTCATTAATGGTTACCCTGACTGATTTCATATATTAAGTCTTGTTGTAGTCATGAGTGGTTTTAATATTCTGATAATTTATATTCCTGAAGAGCCAGTTTCATGGTCTTCCTGATAAGAATAAGTCTTGGTGGGAATAACTGAGTTTGGACAACTAACGGGATTTGTGGAGAGGCATATATGAGAAAATACATGTAAGGCAACAAGTAAATATTCTCCAATATTAATTTTTTTGGGTGGTCCGGTCGTGGGGCCTGAACTCTGGGCCTGGGCGCTGTCCCTCAGCTCTTCAGCTCAAGGCTAGCGCTCTACCACTTGAGCCACAGCACCACTTCCGACTTTTTTCTTTGTGCTTATGTGATGCTGAGGAATTGAACCCAGGGTATCTGGCATGCAAGGCAAGCACTCTACCACTGAGCCACTTTCCCAGCCCCTCCAATATTAATTTGTATCATGAGACTTCGTAAATATACTTCTGTGTATGAAAATTAATAAAATATTAATTCATCATCATCTCCTGCATTAAATTAAACTTATTAGCATTAAAAATCAAATGAAAAATTTATGAATGGGAATACAAAGTTATATCTTGAGAAAATGGTTTAAGAATAACAACTTGTTTCATATATACATATATTTAAATGTATAGAGAAATATATATTGAAATAGATACATATATATTTGAAAATTAATAGCAAATACTTCTGCAAATAAATATGTGTATGAATTTTTAGTTAACTCAATATCTTCAGTTTTGTTCAACTTTCAGATTATTCTTTTTCTGCTTTAATGAAAACTGGCAAATTCAAGACAAATCAAATAACTTTCTACTTGCTTAGAATTTACCTCCAGATTTTTGTACTCTCTTTTAAAACTAAAAGTGTGGTAAAGGTAGATATACTGCCATTTCTGGAGATTTATAGGATTATTGCACAAGAAGGAAATCAGCTGTACAACTTCAATTATAGCTAATGGGGATTGTGTGGCAGATACTCACACACTAAGCACAAAATATGATGGCTAATATCATTTATTTTAGTGTTACATTCAGCCAATAACTCATTCCACACCTCTAAAATCTCAGTTGGCTCTGCTTTCTATAGAACCCAAATAGGTTATTCACTAGTAAAAATGTCTCATACAACAAAATATGTTGTGTAATAGAATATATTATAATTGAGAAATCAGTTCTCTATATTGTCACATGATTTCTTGGATCAAGAAATAGTACCAATAATGAAGCTGTTTTACTGATGCACTTCTTGAATGCGTTCTTAGAGGCATTATATTATTCTTCTTAGAATCATTATTACTATTATTTTATTTTTATTTTTATCAGGGTGCTGTCCCTCAACTTTTTTATTTAAGACTAACACTGTACCACTTGGAACCACAGCTCCATTTCCATTTGCAGTTAATTGGAGATAAAAGTCTCACAGACATTCCTGCCTGGGCTGGCTTTGAACCATGATGACCAAATCTCAGTCTTCTGAGTCGCTAAGATTACAGGTGCAATCCACCAGTGCCCAGTGAAGCTGTTTTAAAAGCTTTATTATTATTATTATTATTATTAAGGAGTTTTACAGAGTGGTTATAATTTCCTAATTCAGATTATGAGTACATTTCTTTTTTGCACATGGTCAACCTCAATGACAACATTTGCCCTTCTGGGTCTTCATAATTAAATAATTAAATTCTGGTGCCCTACCATAGGCTCACAGTATTGAGCCTGTTGTGCAAACATTTTCTCTTTATAAGACTGAGGGATGGATATTCTTCTAATGAGTCAAAATTGGTTCTTTACCAGTGACTTTCAAAGCATGGCCTCCAGTCTAGCAGACGGATTAGCACCACTTGAGAACTGGTTGGAAATACACATCTCAGATGTGAAGTTGGAGCCTAGTGATGTGTGCTTTCTTTTGCTATTCCGGAGATTGTGATACACAGAGAGGACAATGGTCGCCAGCCTTTACTTTTTTACTCTAAGGAGACAAAGGTTTCTTTATCAATATATGATCCAAGTGAACCATATACTTTAGTTGATCTTTTAGGTATGGGCCATTCATTCATATTTTTAAGTATATACTCATCTCTGAAATAGTAGAAGGAATATTTTTATTGAACAAACTAGAAAGTAAATCAAGGTGATTACTTAATTAAAGTGGAGTCTTGTGGCAAGATGTAAAGAACTGATGTGGAAGAAACAGAGTTAGGTCTCTCAGCAGAGAAGCAATAAGCTTTGCTCAGGGTCGTTGAGTGAGTAAATTAAAATCCTTGTACATACAATAAAAATGTCTGGATCAATATAATCAACGTCTTATCTATTATTTAAAAGTAAATTAGCTTTGAGAGCAAGAGCCCAGTGAATCTTTTAAAATTACCAGAGCTGTTAAAGTTTACTTTTAATAATTTCTAAATCATACCTAATGTATTTGGAGACATATATATGTATATTATATATATATATATATATATATATTCAGTTCCATAAACATAAACACTTGTGTGAAGACTATTAGGGACTTAGGCTACAAAAATACAAATCACAATCCCTACCTTTGAACAGCTTGAGCACATTTTTTGCTAGAATAAAGGTAGGCTGTAGTTGCCAATGCAATTTATGTTCCTCTCCACTCAAAAGAAAAAAAATGTGCTTTGATAGGCCACATTTTTTCCTTTAAAAATATGACTGAAAGATGATAAAGAATCAGACAAAATGTCTCTCAGGATATTTCCTAGCATTAAGCTGAGGGTGAAATATTCCCTTACACCAGTGATTGCAAACGCAGTATATATTATTTCATAATGTATGAAAAATATATATTGTCTACTCAGGAGACAGAGAATGGGTGTAGATGATCATCATTCAAGGTTAGCAGAGAAAAAATATTAGAGATCCCAACACAACAAATAAGTTGGGTATAGTGATCTGCAATTATAAACCCAGCTACTAAGGAGATACACATAGGAGAATAGTGGTCTAAGATTAACTCTGGACAAAACTATGAGAGTCTACTGAAAAACAGCTAAAAGTTCGGCAACATATGGCTCAAGTGGTCCAGTGCCTGCTTAGCAAACGCAAAGTCATACAAGGTCAAATTTCAATAACACAAGTAAGTGTAAAAAGTATTTGCACGATTAATATGAAGAAATATTTGCCAACTTTACATTAGTAAATAGTGACACTATTTACATGACCTTATTTGCATTATCACTATGCACAAATACAATCCATCTACTATGATAAGCTATAACTAATATTTGTGCAAACTAACCAGATGAAATCTTTGAACACATACTCATCATTAGAAAATATGCCAAAGATTTGCTTACTTCCACTGAAATGTTAAGGTTGCCAAACATTCAGTGCTACCCACGAGGACTAAAATCAACCTCATCCATCAGTTCTTCACTTGTTGTAAAGCCATCATGCAGATAATTTTGCCTTTTCTGTGAGGTCCTTCATAGTACCTCCAGCATATCTTCTTTAACAGAATGATTATCTTATTTTAGTTATGATATGTTGCATTGTATGCTTCAGAGAACTTCTTCCTACCCATAAAAGTGAAGAAACAATGGCTAAAAAGTGCTAGAAAAATTACAAATTGTGTTTAATCTGTCATTGGTTTGCCCCATGTCCTACTTATGAGCGGCCAGTCATGGTATAGAGTAATGGTAAGAGAATATACATACACATAAGTATATATGTATATATATAGAAGGCTAATAAATATGTTTATATATAATGATGTGCATATCTGTATTTTAAACTTTGATCAGTTAACTCATAACCATTCTACATATTTATATAGCTGACCAGCTACCCACGGCTTTCTTTTTTATTAACTCTTAGGGAGATTCGGGAGGACCTTTAATGTGCCAAGATGACAACAGCTGGGTGCTTGCTGGTGTGACCTCATTTGGGTACCAGTGTGCCAGGCCTCATCGCCCAGGGGTCTACACCCGGGTCCCAGGCTTCACCGAATGGATACAGAGTTTCCTACACTAAGCACGTCCTAAATCAAATGTAATGTGAAGGTTGGTCATATTTCCCTATTTCCCTCTCAGGATCATGGAAACAGATTTCTGAGACATAAAGTACTAAAAATCTTTATTCTTGCCTAAGTCACTGAAATGCTGAAATGGAGTGTTGTAGAGAGATAAAACGAATAAAATTAATTTTTGTAATTCAAATAACTTTATATTTTTATTTCCTTCTCCACTGTCTTTCACAGGTATTATTTTTCCTTTGTTGAAAAACGTTTCCTTTTTTAACATTTTCTGTTACTTAAAGAGATATTGCTTTAAGACATACACCATATAGTTAAGAAATATAGAATCAAAGTAGGAAAAAATGTGAAATTGTTTGAAATAAAGTGCTATTAATTGTGTGGATTTAGTTTAGCTTTCGATTTTATAAAGCTCAATTGTTTCTTACTTTGTATCAAAATGCATTGCTATTTCAATGTATACGAAAACTTAACATTTTCATGACTCATAAACATATTATAAGCTTTTATTTCCAACTTTTGTAAACAGATTGGTTTTTCTGTTCCCCTTTAATAAAGCTAAACAACAAACACACACAGGTGTGTATTTCACCTAAAGATATGGTCTTTCTGTAAAGATCCTGTTTACTTCCACTATTCACATTTCCCACTTATTCCAAGCTAGTATTTTTTAGTCTCATAATGAAACACCCACATATTAAAAAAACAGTTCAATCATTGAGCATGTTTTTATTGGCTCTCTTATATGTTATACTGGGTATTTCTAAAATGTGAAATACTTATGTGGGTATAGTTGGATTATCCACTAGAGCCCAAAAATGTGTAATAAATGAATTTGCTTCACTCCTTTAATCTCTTGGATTATTTCCAGAGAAATTGCCAGCTTCAATTCTGATTGTAATACAGTATCTGTTGATTTGCTTGGGGAAACAAAACCTCATTTATACTAAATATAAGGCATAGACACACGCACGCACGCACACACACACACACACACACTTGCAGGAGCTAATATGGCAGAAGAGTGAGGTTTAGTGGAATTGAAAGAATGGACAATCAGTACAAATTTGCCTATGGAAGAAAGGAGGCCTGAGCTCATCCTGAAAGTACTGATGACTGTTTGTGCCTGGAAGTGGGGCATTGAGGACAACCACACACGTGGCAGGTATTCTGAAAGTTCAGGGGCAAGAGTTGATTTAGAATCCTGTGTTATGGTATGAAAAGATTCCCGATGGAAACAGAGAAAGTGAAACCTCAGGTAAAGAAGGTACATCTAGATGATGGAAGACTAAAAATGGGGAATGTACTCTTGAGACAAACATGGGAGATCCTTTTCTAATCACCTCATCCCAACAAGAGGATAACACACCAGGTGGTGTGTGTGTGTGTGTGTGTGTGTGTGTGTGTGTGTTTAATATTAGTACACTGATCCACATCTCATCTTCATTGCAGATTAAAACTTTGTCCTGAGAATAAAACACAACAGATGGACCCTATACAGAAGTTTATTTACCAAAGATCTGCTGAAATTTGAAGAAACCTCTGGAGCAGCATCCTAACCATCCTCTAATAGAAGAACAATTATTTGATTTTCCATCATTTGTTACTTAGGGGTTTGTCATTAGTACCAGAAAATCTATTCGGACCTGTGTAATAATAATAAATAAATGAAAGGCCTCCCACCATCCCTTGGCTGCTTCTGTCTTGCAGCTGTCATAGTCCTGGGTGGCACAGACCAAACAAACAACTTAATCTTCCTTCCACTCCAACCTGACTAAAAGAAGAAATGCATGGCAGAAGCTGTGCATGGTGGGAGCTGGTAGGGCAGAGGAGATCCCCAGCAGCTGGTCTCTTCAACCCAGAAAGATGAGCAGCAAAGTAGGAGGTGTGCTTTACAGACAAAGTTAAGATTATTGCAAATACTAGTTATATTGCTTCCCTTGTTTCCAAATCTTTAGCTCTAAGGCCCACTAATGTCTCTTTTGCCTCTTAGCTTTGACAACCAATTTTAGTTAATTGCCTTAATGAAAGCACTTCATTGTACCACTGAGGATTGACAGGTTAAATTGCTCTGTTCACTCAATAATGTCAATGCTCACCATACTTAAATAGTGATATTTTCATCGCCATGTCATCATGCACTTATCTATATGGTGTTTACATAAGAGACTTAGACAACACCAGGAACCATTCTTCAGAAACAAGAACTCTTTATTTGGTTACAAGGAACATAGGGACATTTGATGACTTGCGAAGAGCAAGTCCAAAGCTTCAAGAATCTAGGCAGAAAGGAGCCATGTTTGCTGCCACAAACAAACCCTCATCGATGGATATTCCATAATCGATGACCTCCAGGCCCATGTCATATCAATTCATGTCATTCATAGTTCTTTTCTCATCCTAAAATGGCATTGTGCTGTGTTTAGATCCATGCTGATGGAACCATTCACCCTGTCCCTCCTGTAAGAACTTGGCTAAAGTCAGGTAGGGAAATCTGAGAAAAATTCCAAGTATCTATATCCATTGACAATCCCATTGTTTGGTTGGAAAGGGAGGGACCACAATGAGTCTACAACCCTCCAAGAGCGACTTGTAGTTAGTTATATAGGCCACATGTGAAGACATAACAATTTATGCTGTGTATACCACATTTTGTTCAAGATTGATTGAATAACTATTACAGCTACTAGTAAAGTTCTTTTATTACAAAATCAGTTTGGTTTTTAAACTAAAAATCATAGTAAGGCACATGTCTTGCACAATTGAAATTAGACAGTTCTTGCCTCTAAGTAAAATGTTTCAGGAGATTTATACCACAGTTAATGAAATAGCTTCTTATTTCTGAAGAAAGTTCCTAAACATTATCCTACCAAAAGCAGAAAAAGTGAGGGAAGTTGAACCATTATAGAAAAGAAAAAAAATGTTTCCTATGGTAATATATCTGTGTGTGTGAATTTAGTTGACAATAGTGATTGTATTTCTTTAATCAAAACAGATGTATTGAAAAATGAAATGCCATAAAAATAAATATTAGAAGAGTCCATTTTTATCAAACACTTATGCAAAGGTAAAATACTTCTGCACACTGTAGATATCAATACAATTTACATTACATTAAAGACATAAATTATGAAAGGTGAAAGCAATTAAAACAACTGCTTCTAACACACATACTTCTGATGTGTTGACAGCAGTTTTGTCTGCATGGTCCATTCCATTTACTTGATGTTTGGGTGCAACCTCTAGCAAAATAAGCATGTCTCACTCCATTAATAGCACAGCATAGTTTGTAAATGAAATAATAAACATACAAAAGTTATTTGAATATTTCCCTCAAGGGGGAGCTGAAAGTTCATCTTGCAAATCCTTTGAGATTTCAAGCCATTCCAAGCTTATGTTCTGATGCCATTCCTTATACTGATCCAGAATTACAAAACTACTTTTACTTTTGGGACAAAGTCAATGAATTATTATACTTCCATGCCACTTTCCTTTCTGGTGCTCTTGGAAATCCACAGTGTAGACTGGTTTGGGCTGGTTTTGGTTCTCCCTTTACTGAAAAACATAAAAACAAGTTCAGTGGCGAAATCTTTCTTGTCACACTGTTCATTTCTTGGTATAAATGGAGGTAATTCGGACATTTATTTATAAAAGAGTCCTTCTTTGATAGAATACTTTTCCATTCCTATAAAAAGAAATTATAAATTATTTCAGCATATGTAAATAACAAAAATTCTAAGGAGTGACAAGAAACAAAGATGTGTCTTTCTCTATTTGATGCTTCTTAGTTTAGAGTTCAAATACACAGATACCATACTAAAATTGTCCATTTCTCTGACAGAAATATTTGGAAGCATACTTTTTGAGAACCCTATTGCAATCCATCTTGAATTGAATTTCAAATCATAAAAACAAATGCTGTAATACTAAATTTATGTACGATGCTTCCCTGCCCTGTATGTAAGTTACCTGAACGAAGTGACTCAATTATGTCAGTCTCTGAAACCAATGTAGAGTAACTGCTGATTCAGGTTTTGGTAATTTAAGAACATCAGTTTCTCCCTCAAGACTGAGAAACAATTTTAGTTTTGTCAGACCTGGAATTCCCACCCACATTTCTAGCCTGTTCCTGAGGTTCTGCTTCTGTTTTGAGGGAGTTGTGGAAGCATCTATTTGAAATTTTACCCGAGTCATTTTGTACCAGATTACATAGCAAGGTCTAGATGCCTTTGTTCTAGTTTTCTGAGGCCAACCTATCACCTAGACGACTCTTCTGTGTCTGTGCTCATTCACTGTGTTCTGAGTTTACTTTTGTCCAGAACATCTCTTCATTTCCATCAGTGTCCCAGTCCCTGAGGACATCCCTCCACTTCCCATCCTGACTTTCTGCAGACCTTCAGGACTCCTTCAAAGCAGAAGAGCGATTTCTAAACACACCTGGAGATTACATTTTCAAGGTTATCTCATGTATTCCAACTTCACTGTCTTTGGACCATAAAATCCAGATTTTATAGCTTTGCAGATGTCCTCCGATAAATAGATCAACATATCCTTATGCAACAGTTATCCAACATGAATAGAAAATAAGTCAAGTTGATTAAAAGCCCCATCTCTTTTTAAAACTGGGAAAAATGGGTTACATGATTAATGTGGCTTGTGTATAAAATTAATATTGATTTAAGAGTGACTACTAGTTAAGGGAATAAAAGTCATTTTGAACATGACCCAGAATGATAGAAACCATCGTGTGTACCAGATTGGAATCTAAACTTTCTGCAAGGCACTCAGATGATAATGGAGTTGAATCTTTGGTGAAGTTTCTCCTTGCTTTCCTGGAAGAAAGGAAAAGGGGAGGAGCTAAGAATGATGAATGAAGTACTACAGCTAAATCTGGCATCTGGAAGTGCTCGAGGCTGATTGATTTTTCTCACTCTGAAATTTTCAGCTTCTCATGATATATTAGAGCAAATACAAATCACGGCGGCGGCGGGGGAGAGTG